AAGTGATCTCCCTTACTGTAGAATAAGATATACCGAAGTGATCTCCCTTACTATAGAATCAGATCTGTCTCAGTTATCTCCCTTACTTTAGAATCAGATCTACCAAAGTTATCTCCCTTACTGTAGAATAAGATCTACCTTATTTATCTTCCTTTCTGTAGAAGCAGATCTACCAAAGTTATCTCCCTCGCTGTGGAATCAGATCTACCTAAGTGTTCTCCCTTCCTGTTGAATCAGATCTACCTTAGTTATCTCCCTTTATGTAGAATCAGATCTACCTAAGTGATCTCCCTTCGTGTAGAATCAAATCTACCTTAGTGATCTCTCTCACTGTAGAATCAGATCTACCGAAGTGATCTCCCTTACTTTAGAATCAGATATACCTAAGTGATCTCCCTTACTGTAAAATCAGATCTTCCTACGTTATCTTCCTTACTGCAGAATAAGATCTACCGAAATTATCTCCCTTACTGTTGAATAAGATCTACCTTATTTATCTCCCTTTCAGTAGAGACATATACCTAAATTATCTCCCTTCCTGTAGAATCAGATCTACCTAAGTGATCTCCCTTACTATAGAATCAGATCTACCAAAATTATTTCCTTTACTGTAGAATCTACCTAAGTCATCACAATTATAATCAATTGATACGGAGCTACCTGCTCCAGAGGCGATTCTTCGGCTACCTGGCCGAACAGTTGAACAAAATAACACAAACTAACGAATAATAAATAAATATACACTACAATAGGATGGACAGTATTCCTGTCCTCCCTACACCGTCGCCTGGACGTAGGTTACACTACAAGGCTACAACACACCGCAACACTCAACAGTATGCCAGCACCACGACATGGTCACTACAGGCACGTCCTCGATCGCTGAGCTGACCACCGTACAGCTCGACGTCACCTGTCAGTGTCCTGCTGTTACCAAATGCTAAGAAAGGTGTCAGTTCTTGTATCAGCAATCAGGCGTACCAGAGCAGCCTTTGCATGCGACCCCTTATCCAGGAGCTTCTGGCGTACCTGACCCGTCAACTTACCGGCACCAACCACACGTACAATAACTTTTTTCCAGAGTAAGAGCTTCTGATAGCAGTATGTATTATTGTGTGTTAGAACTTCCAGTCCAAATACTGTTTTCAATAAGCCTTTATATAAAATTTGGTGTAACATTCTGGGTGTCTTATTATTTTGCAGATTAATAAAGCACCAACACTATCTCATAACCCAAAATACGTAAGACATATATATTTATTCACTTATAAAGTATTATTACATATATAGAAAACACTAGTTTCCTTTACAAATCAGTCAATCATCCTTAATTACATTAATGAGGTAGGTTACATGAAGGGAGATAACTCAAACTGAATAAAATCATCACATATCTATAGACACTTTGTCAGAGATATGCAAGAGTCAGCGGCTTACTCGTCCCTCCATGTTTTGTATTGTCCAGGTATCAGTACTTTCCAGGTAGTCAACTTTACAAGCAACTTAAACAGTATTTCCGTTATAAACTTGAGGTCAAGATGGCCGCTGGTGCAGGTGGGGCTTGAATCGCTCTTGCGGTGAATTTGAATTTATCCCCTTTTCACTTCTCCGACGATCAACTTTTTGCCTTCATTTGTGGTTTTAATCCCAGTGATGCCTCTCAGTTTGTTGTGGACTCCCAGGATATCAGTGATTCCTGCCGAGGAGACTTTTCAGGCGAGGACTGTTGTGCGGTGGGAGTTCGCTATTTCGAGGTACCAAGGTACTAACAAACCCAGTAACTGTGGTATGTTTCCTTTTATTTCCTCTCTGTGGGGATGTGGAGATGTGCATCCTCATCCTGGGCCTATACAATTTAAATATCATTATTAGAATGCTAGGAGCATTGTTAACCAAATGAATATATTGAATCCAATTTTTGTCCCACGGATTCGACATGATAGTTCTCAGTGAAACCTGGCTGCATGGTGGAATTTTAAGCGGTGGGTTGTTTGACAGCTCGTTTTTCAATGTCTTAGAAATGACAGATCCTTATCTAATGCTACAAAAGCAGGAGGTGGAGGTGTTTTACTTGCCATGAACTCGAATTTTCATTGTGAACATAGACCTGATTTAGAGGCCAATTTCGAGGGTGTATGGATAGAACTGACCATTTCGAAATGCGACTTTATGTCGTCTGTATAAATCTACCTCCCGATTATCGTATTGACTACATCTCCGAATTTGAGAAGTCCGTTGAAAATGTGTTTAATAATCTAGACAAGAACGATAAAGATATTGTATTTAGTGTTTTTAACCTTCCCGACTGTACCTGGATTAACGATAATAGTTACCCTTTCTGGTATCCCAGTGTACCAACAACAATGTACTTTACACATCTATTATTGACTGTATTAGTGAGCACGATTTACACCAGTATGTGCCCGAGCTAAGAAGGGATGATCGCATGCTTGACTGGATACTCGGGTCTGTCGACACGGTAGAGGTCACGGTTGGTGATGCATTACGTTCTAAGAGGCTGTTTTGATACCCCGGACGTTTTCCCTAATGTTACGACAATGACTTGCTTGTCTTGTTCAAGGAAAAGGAAACACGTATAAAGAATATGACAGGTGCAGGAAACGTAAGAGTTCAGTAGCACACGCTGAGTTTAGTACTCTACGTAAAGATTTAAAAAAAAACCCTCCAAACTGTGAAATATAATGATTTGTTTTTAACTAATGTTGAGCATTCTAAAAATTAAAACCCGAAGCGGTTCTGGGGTTATGTAAACATTAAAAGGAAATGAGGTCGAATTCCAGACTCAGTATCTTATTCTGATCATAAGTCTGAATGTAATGTTGAATCTACAGAATTTTTTTTCAACTTTTATCAGAGTGTCTTTACTGCTGATAAAGAAGTTGTTTAGATTTCATCCCATCCCGCATATTCTATGTCAGGTGAAACTTAAGTTCTAACTTCATGTTTCTATGTCTTTCAGTTTTAATATTTTGTATAAGAATATGACCTATATCACCAACACTACACAAAGGAAAATCTTAAAGATATTACGAAAAGAAGTTACATACTGCAGTATAGTTCTATGACTAAAATACATACTTTTTTATGTACTAATAATTAAGACACTAAATAAAGGTGAAAACATTATTTATAATGTGCCATTAAAACGTATTGTTTTCAGCTAGTTTTACTCTTTTTATTTTATCACTGTATAATATGGAAAATTTCATTTTTTTAAATGATTTACCCTACAGCTGTTCTCTGAAGTGTTTTGTGTTCAGAGTGTACGTTTTGTAACATTATTGCTTAGATAGGGTTGACAGGAGTATAACTAATCATTTATCTATAAACATGCTTCATTCTAAAGATATCTCCGAAACAGGTGCTTGGGGAGTAACTTGGAGTATCGCAAGTTTGCCTGGTTTTTATATGTTTATTTTACACAACTGTACTTGAACAACCAGGATACTTAAGAATAATCAGAACCGATGGAAGACAAAATCACCAATACTAACAAGTAGACAGATACCTTTGTTGCTTGTATGTCTATCTATCAGAACATATTCCTTCACTACATGGCCACAAATGACAGACAGATAGATCTTTTCAACCAAACACGCTATAAAATTGGTCATTGGGATACTTCATTTAATGTGAATACGAATATTTGCTTCCAAAGTTTCGTGGAAAAATACATTTTTGTTAAAATTTCCTATTCATGAATGCCCACTCGATTATTTAGGGGTTTAAATAAGCTACCAACAATGTTGGCTGGAGGATAATGGCCCCATTAGGCATTCCTACACATTCAGTGAATAACATATCAAAGCACACTTTCTTAACTTTAACATTAAATATATCATACCTATAGTTATATCATTTTTGGGATCGTCGAAGGTGCTTATCATGAATAAATCATACCTAAAATATATGTGAGAGTTTCGAGCTAAGTCATTTATATGTAAACGTAGATTATTTGAAGAACATGATTATCATAATAAGTTGCCTGATGGAGGCCCTGTTGTACCAAAAGAGAAGTATGATGTTCATTTGTTGTGTTGATAAAGATATTAAAACAAAAAAAAAACCTTTTCAATACCAAAATTCTAGAATTGTAATTGTGGAAAGCTTCTTAAAAATACATTGCACTAATTCTTTGTTTTTTTCCAGTGTTGTTTCTATGAGATATACGTGTGTAGGTAGCGGTTTTCAAGTGATTTCCAAGACGGACGTTAAGACACACAGGTCAGTCAGAAACTGTTTTTCGTGCAAATGGTAATTTGCAAAGCAGCATATGATATTTTCCCGTCTTACTTATTCAAACTAATTCCACGTAAACATCGTTTTTTAAGAAGTTTTGCCAATTGTCTAGGTCGTGCGTTAATTGTATTAAATTATTGAAAAAAGGAATATTAAATAAATGCAGTAAATAAGCAATATCTTCATTCTGAATCCAGTTCAATTTGCTATTCCGTAAGAAAGTGGGCAGATATTTCAGTTGCTGCCTTGCCACGGGTCCAATAAATAAAAAAAAAAAAACATCCATGGTCAGAAAATGAGATTTATTTATGCTTATTGATGAACTTTTATAATTTACAAGAAAACATTTAAAAATTCAAAGAAGCTGAGAACTATTGAGGCAAAAAAGCCTCCTAGGAATCCGAACAAAATCGACAAAATAGTCTACAACGAAGGCATCAGAACACTATGTAACTAAACTAAACATCATTGGGTCGAAACACTAAACGGTGATATGTGAGTTGAAAATAGTCATGGTCAGACTAATCGAACTGTAATGAATACTTTTGTGCTTGATGCTTTCCACACACAGCGTTAGACCTTTTCGTCTGTTGTTGCCTTGTCATGATTCGAAGTGAGATTTTGTTTCAAATAGTCCTTAATAATGACTAGAGAACTCATCCACCGACAAAGTCCAAAATCCGTTGTAGAATAATAATGATTCATTTCCTAAGTTCTACGCAGCAGCTGTCGCTTTGGTCTCAAGCTCTGTGATTAGCCGACAAACCAGCGTCATTGTGTCTCATACTTGCTTCTGGGTGCCGCCCTGTAATGAAAAGCAAGATTTCTAAGATTTCAGAACGCTATTTTCAATTACAGCTTTAATCTCAAAACAACTGATCCACTCCGATGGAACAAACAATTTAAATGCTATAAAAGGGTATAAAATTTTATTCTAAGGAGAGAAAACTTAAACGATATTTAACTACAAATGCATACTTTAAAAGTGCAGTGAAAAGGAAGAGAAATAGAAATTACACTTTACATAGAACTGCGACTTTAAAATTTGCGCAGAAGGTACACACTATCAAGGTTAACGAGTAGACAGAATAATGAACCAAGGTCCAAAAGTATTAGATATAAATGAAATTATGATCTTGGTTGTTGGTTTACATATATATGACTGAAAGGTCTTAATTTTGTTATTGGCTGCAGACGAGACCCGTATTCTTAAAGCAGTGTTCAATTGTCTATTGCTGTGCTAATGAGGATGTAACTGAATTGTAAGGTGGTTATGGACACGGCGAAAAATGTATCAAGTTAATCAATAAGTCCACCATCCAGCATAGCTGCCATACAAATAACCACTAGGCAATATTTTAATATAGGTTATATTCAGCTCAGTATTGATTGTTTATTGACTATTTAATATGATTTTCACAACTCGTATACATAGGTTATATTCAGTCTCACTCATTTCCTACTTCACAATTTTCAAAAAGACTTTCACCGCGTTTGTGAATGATTATATTACACATAAGACATACAAGTGATGAACTCTTTTCAAACCAAATTAAAAGTAAGATACATTAGAGTCAAATTATAACTGAATTGCACCATACAGCTTCATCTAGATCTCGTCGGTGATCCTAAAGGCCGGAAGTTTGCATCTGATAAGGCAATTGATGGAAATGAAAATTGACTGAAAGAAATTTTAAAATCAGGGAAGGTGTAGTGGCCCCTTGATTCAATACTTTTCATAATTTCGTAACTCGCATGAATAAAAAATGGCGCGCGTGTTACAGTTAAATTATAAGTTAATGGGCACTTGATAAGTAACGTATGTATTGATTGGCGCCTTCCGTTTAATTTTACGCTCATTATTGACTATCTAATATAATTTTCACAGCTCTTATTAATATTTTTGAAAAAAACCATCAACATACTGCATGCGCATTGGGCGGGGCACATCTTTCTTAGAATTTCTCTTTCCTCAAGACTATCCGACTGACAATCTTGTTCCCTAACTTCAGAGCATATATCCCAGTCAACGTACATCTCTGGGTTTACGCAGTCCTCTGCAACGATAATATTCATGTTAGGAGAAAACGATATTACGGTCCTGTTTATAATTATATAAATATATGTGTGTGTTGTCTTACTAAACGAACAGAGCCAATATAAATAATCACATGTTTAACCATCAACATCAATCTAAAGAAACATATGTATACTTTTTCTAACACTGATACCAATTTTTATTGAACTGTTCGCAGTTTAAAATGTGCCTATTTGTTAATTTACCATCGCAGTTTGGTCCCAATCCGTACGCACATGTGCATGTACACGTGTTATTGTCCAGTGAACCATCGCCAATCGATTCCCGGTAACACGTTTTTCGGCAGTCTACAACAGATTAGTACACTGATACAGACTATATCGAGAATAGATGATATAATGAGGTTAACAAAGCGACAGGCTTTGTAGTTAATCCTTTTTTACAGTAATGATTTCAACTAAAAGCACTCTGACTCCCCTCCCACACACACACACACACACACACACACACACACACACACACACACACACACACACACACACACACACACACACACACACACACACACACACACACACACACACACACACACACACACACACACACACACACACACACACACACACACACACACACACACACACACACACACACACACACCCCACACACACACACACACACACACACACACACACACACACACACACACACACACACACACACACACACACACACACACACACACACACACACACACACACACACACACACACACACACACACACACACACACACACACACACACACACACACACACACACACACACACACACACACACACACACACACACACACACACACACACACACACACACACACACACACACACACACACACACACACACACACACACACACACACACACACACACACACACACACACACACACACACACACACACACACACACACACACACACACACACACACACACACACACACACACACACACACACACACACACACACACACACACACACACACACACACACACACACACACACACACACACACACACACACACACACACACACACACACACACACACACACACACACACACACACACACACACACACACACACACACACACACACACACACACACACACACACACACACACACACACACACACACACACACACACACACACACACACACACACACACACACACACACACACACACACACACACACACACACACACACACACACACACACACACACACACACACACACACACACACACACACACACACACACACACACACACACACACACACACACACACACACACCACACACACACACACACACACACACACACACACACACACACACACACACACACACACACACACACACACACACACACACACACACACACACACACACACACACACACACACACACACACACACACACACACACACACACACACACACACACACACACACACACACACACACACACACACACACACACACACACACACACACACACACACACACACACACACACACACACACACACACACACACACACACACACACACACACACACACACACACACACACACACACACACACACACACACACACACACACACACACACACACACACACACACACACACACACACACACACACACACACACACACCAACAAAAACCCTTCTACAGTACCATGACAAGTAACAAGGTTTAGTAAATGCAACCTTATGAGGAGGGAATGATAAACACATTATTGATCCCTAGTTTTTTATGCACCTTTTATGCGTTATTTCCATTCTTATTTTGAGTATAGGGAAAATGTTTACCTACCGCAGTTTCTGTCAGTCTGCAAACACGGCACTGTAACCGGAATAAGACAACTATTAGACTGCTAAATTTATTAGTTGATTTTTTTAAAAGTTTTTTTTTTTTTTGTCATCAAAAAGCAAGTAAATGAGAGCGATCAAAAAACCATCGATAAGATCATTTATTCAAACTGCTAGAGTATACATGAACAAATATTTACCGCAGAGTCCGTTTTCACAAAATGACATAGTTCCGTCACACTTGGTGCATGGTGCTCCTGTCTTAAATGCTGGAACAATGGGATCCTCACTATCAACGAAGTGAAAGGTATATATGTATGGTCATTGATTAGATTGACAAATCAATAACCAGGAACGAGTGAAATGTAGAGAAAGAACTCTGTCAGCATCAGTTTGATATCGATCTTTCTTATCGCTATTTTATCACAATGAAACCAACAATGATAGATTTCCAAGTCGCAAAATCTGTTCCTAATATTCTGTCATTTTATCGACGTTTTGATACCTGTCTGGAGTGGATGAACGTTAGAACTCCGGCCTATAAAATGGAAACCAGAGGACCTGCACCGGCGTTCAAACACTAATTGCGGAAAGAACTCTGTGTCATTCTAAATTTTTTTTATATTTTGTCCTCGTTTCATTAGTTTGAGTTTCAATTTACACGTCGTATTTATGTTGTTTTTACATCACAGAACTATATTTTACCTGCCAAAATTAAAAGGGCAATTACACCGCTTTGTGTAAGGCTGGCCAAGTTGGTTGCGTACATATCGAGGTATGTACCTAGTGTTGAAGAGTCTCTCGTAATATTGCTATAATGTTTTAGGGAGTTATCTATCACGGACATAGTTAATATATTTCTTATTACTTAAATGTGAGACATCAATTGATCTCAAAAATAACTAACTGAAGAAATCGAAAAGGCATTCGATCTCTATTTAAATAAAAATAAAACGCTTATTAGATATATATATATATATATATATATATATTGTGCCTTTATCAAGACACAAATATTACATTTAATTACATAACATACATAGAACATAACACAAATACAAAGTTATAAATCTAAATCGGAAGCGGTTGTGTAAATTTAAGTGTCTCGATAATCCCTTCGGCCGATGGACGCTGAAGGCCCTTTATAAGGGACAAAAACACCCCAAGTTGGTGTATGTAAAATGGTGATTCAATATCGGTATGTTTTGCACTCTAGACACTTCTAAATTTTTGTGGAATTGTTTGATTAAAAATAAGAAAATGTATTGTAAAAAATTAATGAATGTATGTGTAGGTCAAGGTCATCTCTCGTTCATGCCGAGTGGGTAGTAGGTTTGGAGTTGGTTGATCAAGTGTCGTTCCTTACTGAGACGTTGCTGGTCACTCAAACTCCTGCAGTGGTCAATGGGTACCACCTGCATGTCATGCCATGAATGGCTTGGCATGCTGAAATGTCTTATTACTGTTTCATAGAACATTGATGATTGTTGATCCTGAGATAAAGACGTGTTTTGGTCTCCCCCATATACTGCAAATGGCAACTGGCACATGTAATAACGTATTTTACATTGGCCTATGTACAGGATACCGACTGGAGGATGTGGTTGTTCTTGGCCGTTGATCTCACATTTGAATTAATTGGTAGTGTGAGTATACGAACAAAGCTTGCACCTCTTACTGTTACATGTTTGAAACAGCCAGTTGCAGTATTGTGGGTAGTTGATATAAGCTCACAGCTCAAAACCAGGTCTCTGTAGTTTTGCGGTCTGTGATAAGTTAGTATTGGGGGTTCCGGGAAAGCCATCTGAGGTTTACTGGGCGATAGCAAAATTTACTAGTGTCTCTGGAAGATTGTTGACAATGGTGGCATACTGGAGTAAAAGGTTACCAAGGTTCTCTCCCAGGTTTTGGTCGGACCTGATATTTAAGTGTACTAGCCCTGTCTAGTTTTTTTAACTATATCGATGTCGCGGTCGATCAGAGCTGCTGTATATCCCCTGTTGAGTAGATAGGACTTCAATTGTAAGCAATGGCGTCTAAAGACGCCGTCGTCAGAAACAAATGAAATTATCAAGATATTCGCGACTGGATGTCCATTTGATCTCGTTGTCATGAAGGAATCTAAACCAGCTGCAAGTAGCCTAGACTCAAGGTGGCCTATGAATACATTTGCATATGATGGTGCCCATGGCAGTACCACTGATTTGTATATAATGCTCTCCGTTGACTGTAACGTTGTTTAACGTAAGCATTAACTTTAGAAGTTTTAACAGACTATCTGTTGTAGGATGTGTGTACTCCCTGGTGTTCAATGCTGTACGATAAGCTAAGATGTCATCCTCGTATGGGATGTTGGTGTTGAGGGAGACTACATCTATAGTTACTAGGAGCGTATCTTCAGGTAGATAGCTACATGATGTCTTTTTAGATAGTATGTGGTATATTTCAAGTAAGATGGTAGGTCATCTATATGAGGGCGTAGGTGGAAGTCAATGAACTTTTAGATTTTTTACTGTGGGGTACCCATTCGATAGATCTACCAGGGTTACCATCCTTGTGGATGTCTGGGAGGAGGTAAAAAGTTCCTACCCTTGGGCAATCGCAGCGGAAAAACTCTGCATCTGTATCTATATTTCCTTTGTTAAATATCCTGTTGATGGTCGCATCGACCTATTGAGCATGTTCTAACGTCAAATCATGATCGACTTCGAGATACAATGTTTGATAAATAGTGATTGGCTGTGTATATATATATTAATCAGTGGAAGGGGTTTTTGAGATTATTTCTGTAGTTTAAGGAAGACCAAACCCAAGTTAACCAAAGTGAAATGAAAGATTTTAAATCTAGAACAATCATGATAATTGTATAAAAAACAAAACAAAAATATGAAAATACCAACAAATCAACATAATCATAATCTAAACTCAGTAAAACTAGGGCAAAATATGAACAAAAAAAGATTTACATAGAGACTCCTGAAAATAGTACATAGATTAAGACGAGGTGTTCGGGAACATCATGTTTTGAAGATAGGATAATTAACACTTAACTTACCTTATGCCATATTTGCACACAAGAAGATTCACACGTACATTCCTGACGCGGCATTGACGTGTATGGGCACAACCGACTTCATGGTGTCCAGCATGGATCATCTGCAATATGAAAAACATATGTTTAACTGAAATACAACAAGATAAAAAAAATCTCAACACACACACACACACACACACACACACACACACACACACACACACACACACATACACAACCACACACACACACACAATCACACACACGCACACACAATCACACACACACACACACACAACCACATACACACACATACACTTGTACATACATACATAAACCTACCGTAAGAAACCGTTTGCACTTATGAAGACGAATGCACGTTTGCAGTTGAGGGATAAAATGTTGTTTTTCTGACATCCACGAGTCCAGTATATTTGAGATGTAGCCCCTTTCGCTAACACCGACGTTCGTATATATATCGTACGGATCAGTGTGTAATGAACCTGCCAGAGAACAATCCAACGCCTGCTCTGCCTGCAGTTGTAGTGTTCTAGACCATACCTATGATAAAAACATCACTGACATTTAAACGTGCATTTCGCCATAGATAGAGCAAAGCTAGGATTTGTGAATACCGATTGTAGGCTACAAAAACAACATGAACAATACTCAGCAACAAAATCAGATTCAATTTCGGGATCAAACACTTAATATCAACATTGAAGCTTATTAATGATTATTGTGTTATTCAATTGTTCTTGTTATCCAAAAACATTTTGTTTTGTGTTGATATCTCTACTTTCAATTTCCTCTGTCACCAGTAATGTAATGGTCTGCTAATAGCACTAGTCTACCATAACCTTTCCTACAAGTTGATACAATTACGACCTATTTCAAACCATGGACAACTGAATGAGTAGGCGGAATGTGCATTAGGATAATCACCCATGATCGGATTAGTTTGTACAACTCAGGTTTGTGTTTAGGTATGTACTACTCTGATGTGTTGACCGGATGTAAGACATATTTCGAACTCCAATATTAGAGCTTGGTCTTTTGTCTTTTTGTCAATTTATATAAACAGTTGTACTAATTAGGCAACGTGTCAGTTGTTTTAAAGAAATGTCGCTTGTGGGCTAAAGTTTTTAACAGCGAAGTTGACGGTGTGATTTTGTTTATAGTGGCAACAATTTGAGCGTTTTCTGGTTGCTAAGGTAATTCTTTTGATTTGTAAGAACTACCACGACAAAAATCAGATATCAAACACTTGAATTTCGATTTGGTGACCCGGATTTTAGGACTCAAAAATAAATCTTTTAGATGGTTTCTTGATCTATGAAAAACTGTCTATGTCCAAGTATCTTACGTTGTAATGAAAGACGAAGACTCATTTCAATTTAAGTTATTTCCTGTGGCACATATTTTGACGCCTATATCGGAAACAGTAGTGTAGCGACATATTGATGCTTTTAATCTACTATCTAAAATCAAACCTTTCAAAACAATGTAAGAAAAAACAATACTGGAAGTTTCAAAGGAGTACATCCTTAAATCATCAACAGCTTAATGAGCTGTCGGATACTGCGAATGGTTTATTGCCCGGTTCCGCAGACCATTGTATTTTGTTATATGATGAATGAAGTTTTGCCTATAAATGAAGGTCAAAACGATGCCATATTAGCCTCTCAGACTTTCAAAATGTGGAGAAATTTCATAAGTTAATGAAAAACATTTTCGATGTAAAGTTAGTTATTTGACATTGTTTCTAAATTTGCTGATAAAGAAACTTTGTTTTTTCTCCAAAACGTTAAGTTGTGTCCTCTTAAAATACTTTTCAATTGTCAAATACCACAAGTTACCAAATTGTTGAAACTTTATGGGAACATCATCACTTTTTTTCAAGTTCTATACTTCTTTTTTTATTTCCCATTATTTTGCCTTAGTATCAATTACTAAGTTCTTTTTTATTTTAAGAAATATCGACCATAACTATCATTTTGGATGGATTTATGCACTCAACTTATTACAATAATTGTATTAAAAATTACCATTTCCTTCATATTTGCAGCGTTGGTTCCGTACACACCATTAGCGAAATTTCTGCGGAAGGTGTTGTGCGTGACAAGGACTGTTTCAATAGCCCTGGCATCTAGACAAAACACTTCGGGATATACGCTTGCCACAAGGACAGCTGTCAACAGTTGAGTGATAACATTAACATCAAATGAAAATTATATCAAATACTGAAATTATTACAGAAATTGGTACATATATGAAATTATGAAATCATTAATTCATAAATTTTCTATTTACCAGTTCCTTTCATTGACACTGTTTTAGGAAAATATTTCAAAATTCAGTAAATTTTATTTTGACAATTGCTTAGTCATGCATTCCCAAACTTAGTTGTTTCCATGTGATTGGTTTGATCAGCGATATAGAAAACAAACGGTACATGTAAAACGCTATTCTCCATCTTTGCCTTTAGTTGATTAATTCGGGTCTGCAAATCGTGTTTTAATGTAGGCAGGTTTCTTAGACAAAAAGAAAGTTGAGTAAAGATAAATTTTTCATTCGTGTTCGATATCAACATAAAGTGAGTTATAGGTTACATTTTTGTAGTAGATGATATACACTATATATCCTATATTAAAGGTAAAAACAGCGTAAGAGAAAATTCTCTCCTGAAGATTGGAGTCATTTGCAACGGTTATCTTTCACTCTTTGGCAGGAAATGCTAACGTTTGTTAAGAGTTTGCTCGCAAAAACTTGTTAGATCATTGCTTATTGACGAATGATTTGGTATTGATATTGCCTATCACCGTGGAAAAACGGTACATGAAATATTACTTCTTTGTATAGATCAACTCGAAAAAATGTGATTGTTAAACTTTCCTGAGAAATTGAACTAAATATACAAATTACACGGAGAAAAAATACAAAGATAATATTAGCCGGTGTTCCTAAAGAGTAGGCGTCTTCTACTTCATCGTCAACATTCGCCATGTAAATCTTGGTAAACCCAATTATATGTCACGTTCCAAAATGAGAACACGGTAAAAAAACACAACAACGGTATACTAACAGACATCATATTTCATAACGATATGCAGATGTAGAATATTTCCTAATGTGATCATTGGGACAACCGTGAATTTCTTGAAGCTGATGTAAATTTGTCATCTTGCACTAATCGTTTTATTTAGAGCAAGTCTTTGAATGTCGAATTAACTGCGACACATAAACAACACCATATAAGTAGAGAAATAATATCCATTATGTTATATAAGATATTTAAAAATGATTTTATAATTGTTTGTTTTGTGGCTTTAGAAACATATGATTTAAGAACTGTGAGCATTATTACCATCGACTTTCACAGTTTGTACTGGAAAGCAGAACATTAGGTTTATAAAAAAATCACTTGTATTTTATAACAAAAATAATTTACGAAAAACTCACCTGCTTTTATTATCATCAGAATCATCATCCTGGTTTTGACTCCTTGCTTAGGAATCAGATAGTCGCTGAGAATGAATGCCAGACTTTATAAGACTTGTCAATTTCATTACATTGCGTTGGTAACACGTGGGTGGCAAGCTTAATTTCTCATTTACAATTGGTCTGGAGATACACAACTGGATAATACACTTCATGCAATAGATAAAGAAAACATCGATGGGCGTCAATTCACTCAGACATTTCTGATTTTGTTTTATTAATGATATGGGGTTTACAGCGTGATGTTAAATCCTTTCGATATTCATATCAATACAATGATTGAAATGAAGATGATAATAATGATTCTAGAGATACTTGGCGGTTTTATAGAATTGATCGTACTGATCTACAGTGGTAAGTCTATGTTTCAATTAGTAAATATACTGGGACGTTACGAATATTGCTCAACAGAAAAAGAAAAAACTATCAATTTTAACAGAAAAAGAAAAAACTATCAATTTTAACGATACACAATGAAATTTATGAAAGGATTATTGCACTACCAGCTATAATTAGACATGGTATAAAGCTGTACAACACAGAGCCGAAAATTCGTGCAAGTATTGTTATATATCTTATTAATAACCCAAAACAAATACGGCAGCACGCCCTTCATTGTAGAATGTCTTACAATGTGTATCGTGCTTACGTCAAACGATGGCTGACCTGTCCTTGAACATCTCGATATTTACAAGAAAAGTCGCTCAAACGGAGCTTCGGCATAGGCAACTTTTTTCTGCCAGTTTTCTTCCAAAAGCAGGAGGCTTCCTATACTTAATGTCCCTGTTTGGCTTAGGTAACTCACCAGCCGGTATCTAGATCTGATTTGCATAATACGTAAGGATATTCCTGTCTGTCATTATATCTTGTTGGATTGATAGCCTTCCTATCCTGATGACTTAGATGCAGCACCTGTCAAGATTCTCGCTTATTCACAGAATATTCATCTTCCAGCATTAGCCGTGGAAAGGACGTCCGGAATTTCATTGTGAGTCCCTGGTCAATACAGAACAGTGTGTAGATCTGCATGTCCTCCCTGTCTGAGATGTTAACCGCCTCAGTCCCACCACGTGGTTAAGTGTGTCTTTTGGGCTATAGCGGGATCTTAGTTGGTTTCAGGCGGTCATATAAAAAGTCGATGTAAAACTGGCAACTTAACAGTGGTGCCTTCGTGTGCACCCTACCAAAGTAATCTTAGATTTGTGCTGTCCCATCTTGATCGCGGAGTCCCGTGGTTTTGGTTTAAGTGTTCATCATAGGAGCGCTTATTACGGTCCTGCGTCGAAGGCAGGTTCTCATGAGCTATTCGTTTAAATTTGTTTGGTTTTTCATTACTTTTGTTTTTCCATGAGATCCTAGTTCTTGGAGGAGTGAATATACTGCGTTCTTGGTTCAGCGATACGATACCCAGGGAAATATCCATCGGTTTGCAAACTTCTATCCCGAACTCGAATAGTTTTCTTCAGTTGTCGGAAATAAAGATCCAATGTTCTATGCCTTTCCTTTAAGAAACAGCGTATGGCTTGGATTATGTTTTGATTGTACCGCTTCACGCAGTACACGTTTTTGAAATCTGTTGCAGTTCGCAGATTCCAGACACCACAGTTCCATCCTGATTTTGCCCTGGTAAGTATAAAGTTCAGTAGGACATCCTAATCTCACGGATCCTGGTAAGTAAAAATTTCAGTAGTACATCCTTGTCTCAAGGATCCTGGTAAGTATAAAGTTCAGTAGGACATCCTAATCTCACGGATCCTGGTAAGATTAAAGTTCAGTAGTACATCCTAGTATCAAGGATCCTCGTACATATAGAGTTAAGTAGTACATCCTAGTCTCAAGGATCCTGGTAAGTATAAAGTTCAGTAGGACATCCTAGTGTCAAGGATCCTGGTAAGTATAAAGTTCAGTAGAACATCCTAATCTCAAGGATCCTCGTACATATAAAGTTCAGAAGGGCATCCTAGTCTCAAGGATCCTGGTAAGTATAAAGTTCAGTAGTACCTCCTAGTCTCAAGGATCCTGGTAAGTATAAAGTTCTGTAGGGCATCCTAATCTCACGGATCCTGGTAAGTATAAAGTTCAGTAGTACATCCTAATCTCACGGATCCTGGTAAGTATAAAGTTCAGTAGTACATCCTAGTCTCACGGATCCTCGTACATATAAAGTTCTGTAGGACATTCTAGTCTCAAGGATCCTGGTAAGTATAAAATTAGTAGGACATCATTATCTCAGGAATCCTGGTAAGTATAAAGTTCAGTAGTACATCCTAGTCTCAAGGATCCTCGTACATATAAAGTTCAATAGTACATCCTAGTCTCAAGGATCCTGATAAGTATTAAGTTTAGTAGTACATCCTAGTCTCAAGGATCCTCGTACATATAAAGTTCAATAGTACATCCTAGTCTCAAGGATCCTGATAAGTATTAAGTTTAGTAGTACATCCTAGTCTCAAGGATCTTGGTAAGTATAAAGTTCAGTAGGGCATCCTAATCTCACGGATCCTGGTAAGTATAAAGTTCAGTAGTACATCCTAGTCTCAAGGATCCTGGTAAGTATAAAGTTCTGTAGGACATCCTAGTCTCAAGGATCCTCGTACATATAAAGTTCAGTAGGGCATCCTAATCTCACGGATCCTGGTAAGTATAAAGTTCAGTAGAACATCCTAGTCTCAAGGATCCTGGTAAGTATAAAGTTCAGTAGTACATCCTAGTCTCAAGGATCCTCGTACATATAAAGTTCAGTAGGGCATCCTAATCTCACGGATCCTGGTAAGTATAAAGTTCAGTAGTACATCCTAGTCTCAAGGATCCTCGTACATATAAAGTTCAATAGTACATCCTAGTCTCAAGGATCCTGATAAGTATTAAAGTTCAGTAGTACAAGGATCCTGGTAAGTATAAAGTTCAGTAGGGCATCAAGGATCCTGGTAAGTACAAAGTTCAGTAGTACATCCTAATTTCACGGATCCTCGTATCAGTAGGACATCCTAATCTCACGGATCCTGGTAAGTATAAAGTTCAGTAGTACATCCTAGTATCAAGGATCCTCGTACATATAAAGTTCAGTAGGGCATCCTAATCTCACGGATCCTGGTAAGTATAAAGTTCAGTAGTACATCCTAATTTCACGGATCCTGGTAAGTATAAAGTTCAGTAGTACATCCTAGTCTCAAGGATCCTGGTAAGTATAAAGTTCTGTAGGACATCCTAGTCTCAAGGATCCTCGTACATATAAAGTTCAGTAGGGCATCCTAATCTCACGGATCCTGGTAAGTATAAAGTTCAGTAGAACATCCTAGTCTCAAGGATCCTGGTAAGTATAAAGTTCAGTAGTACATCCTAGTCTCAAGGATCCTCGTACATATAAAGTTCAGTAGGGCATCCTAATCTCACGGATCCTGGTAAGTATAAAGTTCAGTAGTACATCCTAGTCTCAAGGATCCTCGTACATATAAAGTTCAATAGTACATCCTAGTCTCAAGGATCCTGATAAGTATTAAGTTTAGTAGTACATCCTAGTATCAAGGATCCTGGTAAGTATAAAGTTCAGTAGGGCATCCTAATCTCACGGATCCTGGTAAGTACAAAGTTCAGTAGTACATCCTAATTTCACGGATCCTCGTACATAAAAAATTCAGTAGGACATCCTAATCTCACGGATCCTGGTAAGTATAAAGTTCAGTAGTACATCCTAGTATCAAGGATCCTCGTACATATAAAGTTCAGTAGGGCATCCTAATCTCACGGATCCTGGTAAGTATAAAGTTCAGTAGTACATCCTAATTTCACGGATCCTGGTAAGTATAAAGTTCAGTAGTACATCCTAGTCTCAAGGATCCTGATAAGTATTAAGTTTAGTGGTACATCCTAGTATCAAGGATCCTGGTAAGTATAAAGTTCAGTAGGGCATCCTAATCTCACGGATCCTGGTAAGTATAAAGTTCAGTAGGGCATCCTAATCTAACGGATCCTGGAAAGTATAAAGTTCAGTAGTACATCCTAGTATCAAGGATCCTCGTACATATAAAGTTCAGTAGGGCATCCTAATTTCACGGATCCTGGTAAGTATAAAGTTCAGTAGTACATCCTAGTCTCAAGGATCCTGGTAAGTATAAAGTTCTGTAGGACATCCTAGTCTCAAGGATCCTGGTAAGTATAAAGTTCTGTAGGACATCCTAGTCTCAAGGATCCTGGTAAGTATAAAGTTCAGTAGGACATCCTAATCTCACGGATCCTGGTAAGTATAACGTTCAATAGTACATCTTAATATCAAGGATCCATGTAAGGTCACCTTCGCCATTCTCGCAGCATTCTGACACGATAGCGCACAACATTCAGACCTTTTACAAAATTGGTATACTAGCAGGGGAATGCATGTTTCCTTGCTGTGACACAGGTAAAGGACCGGAAATGATCAGAGTTCCGTTAGAGCTTCCCGGGAGGTTGGTTTGTTATACGTACAGACCTTGCAAGAGGCCACGAACTGTTTCACGCTGTCAGTCATTCCTTACCAGATCACTGTTTGTTTGAGTCTCACAAGGGTTTTGATCTGCTTGAAATGGACCTTGGATGGTAGGTCACGAACTTTATCCATAAAGTCCTGTTACATGCTTCTGGACATCTTTTCTTATACATAGCTCCACATCTTGTCCATACAGTGCAAGCTGCGACCAGCCTTCTCCCCAGGTCTTGTGACTGCAATTCATGCAGATCATACGGTTTCAAGTACCGTTCACCTTGTCCTCCTGTTTCGTTACAGTCCCTCGCGAAGTGCCCATGTTGCACACAATTCTAGCATGACCCATGCTTGACAGGTGATGCGACTGGGGACTAATACCCACTCTTACAGGTAACCGAGAATGGTTTACCTCCTGAACCGTCTGGGATGTCCTCGGGATTGCCTGGTTCCATTCTGACTACTCATTAAGTATTTTTTTACCTGATTTTCGGCACAATCAGATTAAGCGACTGGCCAATAACATCATGAATGCTCGAGTGAAGATTGCCATTAGCTGTGGCTGTATCAATAATTGATATCAATTAATAAAGAGAATATAATATGTAGAAACCTTTCAGTTGATTTATGTAGAGAGGAACAGAATAGTACACACATATAGGGATATAGAAGTATTGGAAGAGTTGGTGAGAGCAAGCAATAGACAACGAAAATGTCACCGCCCTTTCTAGGGCCGTTAAATTCTCAGGAAAAGGTTTTTATTGCGAAACTCCCGATGACTAAAGTAAATATTTCTATATATGTTATCAATAAACTAAACCAGGCTATTGTGGTCGACAATTACCCATACGTTGACACGCTGAACGGTATGCTGACGAAGATGGATCTCGTGCCAACGTCGCCGAAACGGAACAGCGGTGTACTGCATGTTACTACAATATGAAAAAAAAAATGCTTCAAGCAATGAACTTTTAACTGAACATTTCAAACAAAAGACAAATCATGGAAAACACCTTTTTTTGAGAAATTTAGAATGAAATATAGTCAAGTGATATGATAAATCAAATATCACACTCAAGCTTTGTTCTTGTACACCTCGCCCGTGGTACTAAGTACTTCAGGTATATAACACATTAAAAATTCTGGATGAGAAGATGCACTAGGAGCATAATTCGATAGATCACATACTTTTCACGTATCCGATAATGTGAACTTTAATACATGTCTATATTTTAAACCTACAATTCGATTACAATAAAGCGTGGAAGGCAGATAATGGACATCCAACATATTTCAATTTCCATTTACATTCTTGAAACAACGGTTTACGAAAGGAGAGATGAAATCAGTGTTAATATGAAGATAATTGAAAGCGTATTTTCAATGCGGATACCTACGAATCACAGCTTTTGATATTCAGATTGTCTTAGTGATAAACATATTTTATGTATGTTAATAAAGAAATATCCAAATCTCAGGGATTTGTTTTATTGTTTTATTTCTCTTAATTGTTTCTATTACCCAATCGAGAGTTCTACTAATGAAACACAAACATTTGCTTTAATAATGAATTCCAAATATAGCTTACTCTGATAATGGACAAAGAGAGCAGCCCATTAAAGGAGAAAGCACGTCTTGTGATAATACCGTTCCACACAGAATATCATGTAAAGGTTAAATGGAATCATCGTCATATAACTCCTCTGTCCATAACCGTCAGATATGTTTTCCTTTTGTCGTCAGTAATCTTGATTATATCGTCCAATAAAAACAGTATCGTGTGTGGTAGGATGGGCGATGATGGCGTATTTCATACAAAATAATGATGTTAGACGGTGTCGTGTTTCATTTTGCGATATTCTGGTTGAAGAGGTCGATGCCCTGTAGATAGCATGGCGATAATCTCGCTTCTTATTTTGAAATTATGGTATTACATGGAAGAAAATACACATACATGACGTGAGGCATCCCGGAAAAGTATAAATAAAGAATGTGGGGGAGACATATTAAGGGCTAGTCTGCTAACAAATTCAATTGAATACCTCCAGGTTTCAAACTGACGATACCTAGAAGGACGAAACAGCTGTATGATGTAGCATCACTGACGGTACCTAGAAGGACGAATCAGCTGTATGATGTAGCATCACGGACGAGTCCTAGAAGGACGAATCAGCTGTATGATGTAGCAACACGGACGAGTCCTAGAAGGACGAAACAGCTGTATGATGTAGCATCACTGACGAGTCCTAGAAGGACGAATCAGCTGTATGATGTAGCATCACGGACGAGTCCTAGAAGGACGAAACAGCTGCATGATGTAGTATCACTGAGGAGCCCTAGAAAGACGAAACAGCTGTATGATGTAGTATCACTGTCGAGTCCTAGAAGGAGGAAACAGCTGTATCATGCAGTTTACTTCATTGTTTGGTTCTATTGTACTTCACTCTAAATTATGAAAAGGTGCTATTTTGGACAATCTGTTTACAGTAAATTTGTGTGGAAATGAAAATTACTTGTCTGTGGTAAGAGTATCTGAACAAATGTGTCTTTTGTTCATATTTTACCATAGGTTTAGTAATTTGAGGTGGATTATGTTGATGTAGACATGTAAGTTGTTTTTGCTACTGTGGTGTGAATAAACTGTGAAAAACATACTGTATATAGATCTGTGGGTTAGAATTCACTGTTTGTCAACCAATTCACATATAACATTTTGACATGTACATACTGCAAATCTCTTAACAAAGCGTACCATTCAATGGTTAGAGAATTTCTTCTGTCAAACACAAGCAAAACATTATTGGTTATCTCAAACATTAGTCCCAATGAAATGACCAATGAATTAGAAACATAGGTCATACTCCGTGAATGAATAAATCACACCTCCTCCACAGAAAGATCAGTACAAAAGTTCTGAATGTCGAAATGTTACATGAAACCAGTTTTGTTTCCTAATTGATTTAGTGTTGTGCGAGATGATCGCCACTTCAGCAAACTCGTTGTTTATCTAGAATATATTTGCTAAGAAACAATTGTCTGGTCTAAAGGAAACAAGAGAGAAAAATAAGAAAATGAAAAAAAAAATATTTTATTTGCTAAGTAGAAAAATACTTTCAATAAAAGTTTCTTTTAATGTTTTCATGAAACATCTGATAATTCCATACAATTTCACCAATAGGATAATTAGCATGTCAAAGTTCATTTTTATCTTTGAATGCAAACATTTTGTTTCTGTCATGTTCGTGGTGAATAGATAGTCTCCTTGTACATGTTCATTCTTGATCTCAAACCATCAAGATCGTGTCAGCCATTTTCACTCTTGGTGAACTAGTATCCACAGCATGTCCTCAAGGTTTTTGCAGTTGGTGTATGGTGGAGTAGGATGCTCTAATTTGCATCTTCCTGACAGGAAATACGCATCGAAGATATATGTCCACCGCAACATTCCTATAATCACAGACAAAAATGGGGAGAGCTTCATTAACACCAACGGTTTCTTCATTAACGGATTTTCTCAGTATTTTTAAGGAATTAATTTTATAGACATTTTATAGAAATACAAAAAGAAATTAGGAAATGCAATTAACAGAACTACATCAGCAAGAAACATTATTGTAATGTTGAAAAAAATGAAACAAATTCCAAACAATAAAATCCGTGTTTTTGAAGAAATTAAATAAAAGAAGCAGCATTTTTCTTCCAAACGAAAGTCCGCTGAAAACAACAAGGCTGTAGAATGATTGATTGACATTAACGTCTTCCTTGTGGACCAATCATCCCATGATTTCTAGTAAATGTTTTGGCTTCCTGAAACGTGACCTCTCTTTCTAATCCACCTTGATGCCTACAAAAACAAAACCATGTCAACATATCCAACATAAAAATGTAAATACAATTCTAAATGATTAAAAACGAGGCTGAAACGACAATGACATGTATATATGTCGAGCGGCGACGTTGAGAATCGAAATTTGAACCATTTTGCCTGAGAGACGCTAAAAAAGTTAGAATAAGGTAGAGTAGAAGGAGCAAAATAATGAAGTAAACTGGATCACCTTCTAGGACACGTCAGTAATCCAAAAGGCCTACATATGGACACTATGTATTCCGGATAATTCTGTCACAATATGACTATTAACCTTCAAGTTAACATAAGCTCTTGTTGTCGACGATTTCATGTCTTACCATAGCGTCTATCCAATGTTTAGATTCCATTAACGATTTTCTATCCGTTATACCCTAAACTATGATAGTCCAGTGAGCTTTTTGAAAATAGGAAGTGGCCGCGGAACGGAATCTTTCTGGGTCGGAAGTTTCCCATATCTGAAACTGAAATAATACAAAGATTTTTTTTATATATGAAAACGTCTCCCATTACTTAATTATAAAACAACTGTCACTCAGAATAATGAACCAATTATACAACCAAATACAAGAACAATAAACCGAACAAGCAAACAAAAATAACCAAAAAATCATATAAAGCCACAAAACAATATCTTCGAATTCGTTAACAATGATGTATGAAGAAATCACGCTTTAGTATCATAACAGTTCCAATTGAATATTGATTACACATGACTCCTCAATTTCACAAAAATTCAGAAATAAATGTTTACATGAGGAGTTGAATCTATGGTATTTAACTGACTCCTTTACCAACGATCTTCTCAATTTCACTAACAAATTTATTGATGATAGCTAGTCTTTAAATGATAAGATATTAATAGTTCAGAAATTTACACTTGCACAACGTTTTCTCGTATTTCACACGATTCTCATAATCATCTCCAGGTCTACAGCATTCTTTAAGGATAAGTCCTTTCGAATCATGTAAGCCGATATTAGATGTTGTACCACCTCCAGCAATAAAGGCTGAAGTGTAGTGGCAAATTTATTCTGAAGCATGCATTCGGCATCACATGGTAGTGTTAACATTTCATTACGAAGGACACAAAATATGTAAAAAGAGATTTATATAAAAAAATATATACTGACATGACAGTATTTGCAGACTACACACGGTCGTTGTGAACACGTGACATTATTGGAATGTTGACATAGCAACGATATATCTTTTTTTATTAATACACTAATGAGAAGTGGAATTGGACGCAGCATTCACTCCTTTGCGCAGCTTTCCTATTTGGAATTTTCTTCTCGTGGATCTCATTGAGAAGTATTCTCTATCCGTAAACGATATGAAGTTTGACATGTCTGAAACTCGTCAATGCCAGTTGGTTCCGTTGTGTTGAGTTTTTTCTCATTTAAGAACATGATATTACTTACATAGTTTGCAAATCTTTACATGGCGGGATCGTCGGTACATGTAACGCCTTCCAATACATATGCAGAGTTAGGTACAGTAGTGCAAAACAATTAATTAAACTGCATAATATAGCTGTTTCTTCGTTTTAGGACTCATCACTGATACTAAGGGCCTATATATGTAACT